GGAGAAAGTGTAATGTTTAATAATATGTATGAACTAGAAGAATTCTGGGTTCAACTGTACACTGTAAATCTCTCTCTCTCTTTCTCTCTCTCTCTCCCCCCCCACACACACGGCTTGAAGAAGTATATTAGACTTTTAAAACATAAGTACGATGTAGATGTTCACACACACACACACACACAAATACCTCTGCTTGAACATTATGCTAATTCATGAGGACTTCTGGCAGAACTTGACAGTATAAGTCTTAGTTATTTTCCCATCACAACTGTAATAAATAATGCATCATGAGCAGGCAAGTTATATAAAAAAAAAGGATTTATTTGGATTGATGGTTCCAGAGAAGTAAGCGTCAGTCCATCACCATCATGGTATGAAAGTGTGGCACCAGGCAGGTATGACAACTGGAGTAAGACCCCACATGACAACTGAACTCTCCCACAGTCTCCCCTTCCTTGCCATGTGCCTACCCCTACAAGGGCAGACATCCATTGCTCAGGTGCAGACCATGCTGGTCAGAACAGGTAAGAGTCCCACCTGCCCTTGGAATACGCCCCTGCTCCCTCAGTTCAGAGATGAAAGATCCAAGTTGCTGACACCCACCACTACCTGCACCCACTGCCTTGCCACTGCCCCTACGTGGGGGTGGGGTGGAGGCTACTCATTGCTCAAGTGCAGGCCATACCAGTTAGAAGAACAGAAATTCCCCTGCTGGACCAAAGGCCACACTAGCTACCAGAAGCACAGCCCCCAATTCTGGCAGACTACCAGTAGGACCAGAGGTCACGCAGGCTGCCAGAAATATAGGCCACAAAGACCAAAAGACAAAAGAGGAAACAGAAACCAAAGAATAAAACACCCATCCAACAACAACAACAAACCCTCAGAATTTGGCTTCTAGATCTATATTCATTCCTAACCCAGATGCCTAGATGGCAGTGTAAGAACACAATCAACAACAACCAGGGCAAAATGGCAACACCACAGCCCAACTATCCTACTAGAGCAAGCGTGAATATTCCAATACAGTTGAAGCACAAAGAAACTACCATAAGAAGTTTTAAGAAGACAACAGAGGTCCTTAAACAGGAAATGAATAAAGCAGAAAGGGACTAAAGAGATGGCACAGTGGTTCAGAGCACTGGCTGCTCTTCCAGAGGTCCCAGCTCACAGCTCTCTTTAGCTCCAGTTCCAGGGGATCCCATACCCTCACACAGACATACAGGCAGGCAAAACACCAATGGACAATGAAGAAATAGATAGATAGATAGATAGATAGATAGATAGATAGATAGATAGATAGATAGACAGACAGACAGAGACACTGAGAGAGAGGAGAAATCCAGGAAAACACAAACAAACAATGGGAGGAAATAAATTCCTTAAAATCAAACAGGTGAAAGAAATGACTAAAACTATTTAAGAACTGAAAATGGAAATAGAAGCAATAAGGAAAACACAAGCTGAGGAAAACCTGGAGATGGAAAATCTAGGTAAGAGAAGAGAACTACAGACCCAAGCATTACCAACAGAATACAAGAGATGGAAGAAAGAATCTCAGGTGGAAAAGACAGCATAAACTTCAATAGTTCACCCATAGTCCCATACTTCCTCCAACAAGTCACATCTTCTAAATTTCCCCAGACAGTGCTATCTGAGAATCATGTATTTAAATGCCCAAGAATATGGAGGACATTTTATTCAAAACACCACAGTATAGCAAAGCCATCTGGATTAATACTCAAACAGGTTAGTTGTTAAAACTAAAAAACATTATCCAGACATTTAAACTGAGATAAATATTTACTTAGAATACAATTTTCAGGGCTAGTGAGATGCCTCAGCAGTTAAGAGCACTGGCTGATGTAGCAGAGGTCCTGAGTTCAATACCCAGCAAGTACATGGTGGCTCACAACCATCTACAATGAGATCTGGTGCCCTCTTCTGGTGTGCAGGCATGCATGCAGGGAAATCACTGTATACATAATAAATAAATAAGTCTTAAAAAAAGGAATACAATATTCAAAATGCCCAGGATACTATCCAAAATAATGAAGCATTGGAAGAACCAGAAAAAATGTATTTATTTTTTGTGGGAAAAAATCAGAACTGTTAGAAAAAATAATTTTTACATAGCTAATATAATCACCCTCAAATGACATTAATAAAATAGTAAAAAAAAGGTCAAGAAACACAAACCATGAAAAGATCTACATAGAAACTTTACAATTAAAAGATAAAAGATTTGAAATAATAACATCGCTGAAAAAGATCAAAGGCAGAATGGAACTGAAAGAGGGTAACCTCCATTAATATAATGATGTGTCATAGAAATATTATGAGAAATAGATTAAGAATAGATCCTAAGGAACCTTGGAATATTAATTATTAACAGATTAAATTTTCATGTCTGAAGTCATAATGGAGAAGAGATTGAAAATGGTACAAGGAAAACAATCCCTAAAATAATAGCTAACAGATTCCAATCAGACTAGCCTAAATTTGGAGGTTCAAGAACCTCAGTGAACCTAAAAAGAAAATCCTGACAAAACTACATGCAGGTACAGTATATCAAATAGTGAAAACTAAAAATAAAGAAAAAAATCTTTAAAGTAAGCAGAGAAAGGAAGTAGCTATTACATATAAGGGACAAATAACACTAAATAGTTTTTAAAAATATGGGCACCTATGACTGTAGAAGTTACCCTATAATGGTGGATGAGACTAACATAAAAATTCAAATCCCAGGGATGGGATACTTTTTTTGGAGTTATTGGCCAGTGAGGTCACAAAGACTCCCAAGTATCACAGACCATTGCCATAACCATATTCATGGTTACTTCCAGAACTTGATCATATATACCCCTACTGTTGAAGATATCACATGCTATTCATGGTTACTTCCAGAACTTGATCATATATACCCCTACTGTTGAAGATATCACATGCTTGAGTCACAGAACATGATGAAATCAAGCTGGCACAGACCTGGAAGCTTCAGTACTACTAAATAGTTTTTATAGTGCTAGGTGGTGCTATACAAGCTACTGGAGGAGAGAAGTAACCATCAATTTTCTTGAGCTGTGACCCCTATGATCTACAATAATGCCTGCCAGAAAAACTACTGCCCACTTCTGCAACAGTGGCATGAATGTCATGGGAGTAACTAACCACTTTCTGATAGGATTTAAGGCCTGATACACAAGATAAAATGATCGGGATGTTCTTCTGTATATATGTTTCTCTTATTGGTTGATGAATAAAACACTGATTGGCCAGTAGTAAGGCAGGCAGTTTAGGCAGGGCTACCAGATGAGGAATGCTGGAGAGAGGAAGGTAGAGAGAAGCTGCCAGGGAGACACCATGTAGCCGATGAAGGAGTACCATACCAGATTACAAGTAAGCCACAGCCGCGTTGCAATAAATAGATTAATAGAAATGGATTAATAATTAAGAGAGAGCTATCTAATAAGAAGCCTGAGATATTGGTCAAACAGTTTACAATTAATATAAGTCTCTTTGTTTATTTGGGGCTAAACAGCCGTGGGACCAGGAGGGAAAGAAACTCCGGCTCCAATAAAATCCATACCTGGCCAAGAACCTATAGCAAGATAGATGACAAAATGCTAGGAGAGAAACTACTGGATTGATTTGTTAAGTGGACATAGTATTAAACTAACTCGAAATGATATATCATTATATCCATAGGTTAAGGAATCTCTCAAACTTCATCATGTATATTTTCAATGGATGATGATCAACACAGATCCACAACTGGCCAAAAAGCAGAGAACAAGAGACAGAAGACTGTTCAGCCTGCTCAGGGATCATTGACAAAGACAGAATGGAGAGAATGTTCAAGGCAGAGGCAGTGGATAACTACAAGGAAACAGTGTCTTCTGGACAGAGCAGGGCATCTTGCACATATAAACTCATGGTAGTAAGACAGCTCCAGAATACCTGTAAAAATCTGAGCCAAACCAAACCCAAATGTGGAAAGAGGAGTTGGACATGAAATTTCAACCCTAGTTGAAGAGCTATTTGCACTTTTTGGATATTGGAAAGGGAATATTTCGCTTTTTTTCCTAAGAATGTAACCCCTGATAAATCTAGACTGTTCCAGTGGTAGTCCATATACCTAAGAATATTTATGCAGTATACATTGGCCTGGATGAGGGTGAAAAAAAGGATCCAAGGTCTGGAGGGAAGAGTTGGTGGAAAGGAGAATATGATCAAAGCATGAATAAAATTCTCAAAGAATTTTATATATATAAAATCTCTCATATTATTTTAATTTCCTTTTCATGTATTAAACATTATAATACTGAGTAAAACATACATACACACATATATATACACACATATATATATATATATCAAAAAAGAAAATATAGTAATCATTGATTCATTCATAGCTATATCTCCAATGACTGCCAATAATGAAATAAAAATGTAATCCAAGTAACAGAAAAGCCATTTTGAATAACACTTACATATAAACTAAATAGACCCCTTAGCTTTTATATTCATATTTCACACAGAATATCAGTGGCTATGCTGATTACAAAGTTATGAACTTACAAAATTGTATATTATGAGATTAAATGTCTATTATTCAAAGGTCACTAAAAGAGATCCTGACAAAATTAAGTTTTATTTTAAATAATCTATACTATTTTCATTTATAGGATTATAAATAATTTATAGGCTAAAATAGTAAGAAACCACCAGATTAAATATAGACGCCACCATGTATGCCAATAAAAATATAGTTTTAAGACACTAATTTAATATAATAATATACTGATTTAATAGTGCAATTTAAATATACTAAATTATTCAGAGATTATCTCTTTTTATGACTACACATAAATATGCCTCTTTATAAATTCAAGCCTTGTGACAAAACTCTCTTAGAGTTGTTCTTAGATTTACTGTTCTTGTTATTGATTTGTAGTCAGGAGTGCACTTTCTTTGCAACTTGTGGGTGGCTTTCTTACCTAGAGAGCATGCCCAGAGGTGTAACATTAAGTGATCCCATCAGCATAGCCAGGGCCATCCCTGGCGCTTCCCGTTCTATTACTTCTTTTGTGGCCTGTAATTAAAGATTAAATAGCAGACTGAGTGAATTAGCCAAAAAAGAAGAAGGCAGAGTAGTAAATTTCACTTCAAGATAAACGATATTTTGTAGTTCCTTAATCATTTTGATTTTTAAAGTCAGCCAGCTCAGTTTTTCAGGATCACTGAACATAAGCTAATGATTAGGAAAATCCAAGAGAATGTTACCAGTTCCATCTTTTCCTCGAAGTTTCAAAGTATTTGATAGAAAACTCATCTTATCTGATAACCTGAATTTGAAAAAAATGAAACCTCAGATTGCTGTGGCAGTTCAAAAGACTTCAGAGGTGTAAGAAAGCTGGGCATTAGTTTTGGTGGCTCTTAGGGTTTTTATTTTGTGGTATTAAGGGTGGAAGTTAAGGCCCTGTGCATGCTCAGTAAGAGCTCCAGTGTGAGCTATGGCACTGTGCTATATCCACAGTTTGCCAATTGTTATTGAAATAAAAATGGTTTCTAAAATATATTCCTCCTAGTTCTATGATATTATAACATGGTTAAAGGAACAAAAAAATCAACTTCCCCATAAATTAGAAGAAAAAATTTACATTTTCTAGTTTCAGTACAAATTAGTCATTGGATTTGATAAAAGAATAAAGTGATAAGATTTGCTATACTAAGAGTTATGATCCAACATTCTTATGATGAAGGGTTGTTTAACCAGGACTAAGTTAATGAAGGAGAGAGAAAAAGCACATTTTCTAATGGTCAGAGTATAAGCATACCTTGCAGGTATTCCAGGTTTAGTTTTAGACCACTGTTAAACCAATAAAACAATAAAGCATATCATATGAACTTTTTGGTTTCTGAATGCATATTATCCTGTAGTGTATTAAGCATATCATATCATTGTATCTAAAAAGTTACAATAGTGAAATACAGTGTTGCAAACGTATGATAGTGTTCATCTGAACCTTCAGGCAGTCATAACTGCATTCCAAGTGGAAGCTCTAGCCTTGAGCTTGTTTCCTGTTGACTGATCAACAGAAATAAAAATAATGAGTAATTTTAGACCATTGGGAGATTTACCAAATGCAACATAGAGCTATGAGGTGAACATGGAATTAATATTCTTGGTTTGCACAGGGTTGCCTCAAACCTTTAATTTGTAAAACATTGGTATTTGTGAAGGGCTATACACTGAAATTATAGAATATGAGCTTTGATTGTACATTGTATTTAATGGTACAGGTAAATTTTAGGTTAAAATTAGGAACAAAACCCATGACTTAATACATTTCTAGCAATGTTCCTATAAATGAAGGAAGTTACAATACCTAGAAGTGACCAAGAAGTAAAATTTGCAAAATACAGTATTCCAATATGAGGAAAAGCAAGGAAAATATAAACAATGATAGAATACAGAGACAGGTTTTGCTGCACAAGTTCAACAGCAGTGAGTGATAGCTATAAATAAGGCTGCATCTATTGCTAATTGTCCTCAGATAAAAGTTGAAGACAAAACAGTTAAAGAAAATCAAGTATGTATCAGATGCTGATCATGTAATTCTTAGGATATATATAAATGGTCAATTTGTCCCTAATAGGTATACAAAATACAGGATTCCTGGAACTGATAAATCTCCTGGTCCACTGTGCCCAGTATAGTGTAATCTTTAACAACAACAATTGCTTCTTAATGAACTACTTTAATCAGAGGGCACCACAGGCAAGTAGAAAAGAAAATCTTAACTTGAAAGTTTTTAAATGAGTCGCTACTATTTAAGTACCAAGTTGAAAAATGATGTGCTGTCAACTTCACTCTTCATCATCTGAAGCCAACATATCCAATTTAAGCTTGAGGCCTCATGATATTAGACATTACTTCAGCCATAAACTTCCCAGGAAACTAAAAATCTGAATCCTAATAGTCAAACAAAGGGAAGGTGAGCATAATATAAAATATATAAAATATAATATAAAAATTCATAATATAATATGAATTAACACTTCATAACCTGCTTTAAACAGTCACCATATAAGCAGTACTTAACATTAATGGATTTGAACACAGTTTATCTCGAAAAGATTCAGGCCAGTAGCTTGGACCTTGGTGTGGCCATGTTAAAAGGATGAGTTGTTATCACTACAAGTTTTAATGTTGGTCTTCTGGACTCAGTTCCCGAGGGAACAAATTATGTAAAGAGTGAACTTTGCCAAATGATGTCTTCTGTATATAGCTATTTTCCTTTCTGCCTCTCTTCTATGTTGTGGATGCACCTCCAGGACCCTTGCTAGAGGCCAACACATAGAATCCCTCTATTTTGGATTTTCAGTTCCCAAAACTGAAATAAATAAACTTCCTTTTCTTTAAAAATATTCAATCACCAGTATTTACTTCTAGCAACTGAAAAAAAATGAGGGGATACACATAAAGATTATGTACCCCAAGAAGAATAGTACATTTTAAGGACAAGTAGAGAAGTACCAATGAATAGCCAAGAGGGCAAATTTAATCTAAAATAGAGAAACGAAAGTATAATACTTATCTACTTGAAAAAAATTACTTATTAGGAGTCCTCAAGGTGTTTGGCAGTATTAAAAGGATAAGATGATCCAGTTATGAATTAAATAAACAGTGTAAAAGCTGTGACCTAGAGTTTACAAAAAATATAAAAATTGCATGGGAGAGATAAAGTCCATCATTTTTTCTAGATTCTCTAAAATGTATCATGAATTGTTGCCAGAACATTGGATTCTAACTGAAATGTCTCACTTCAGCTTCCAGAGAATTATCTTATTAGAAATTGCTTTTGTGGTCCACCATTAAACATAAACAAAACTCAATGAAATTTCCTATATGATGGGGGATCTGAGATATGTTTTCATTATATTGTGGTTTTCTTTAAGAGATCCTGCAGGGGAAATTTCTGATCTTAAGTAAGAATGGATATTTCTGCATTGTTAGTTTGTTTTTACATTATTATGGTATGAAACATGGTGAGTTGGTAGGAGGCTGGGAGCAGACCATGGGATTCTTATGGGTCAAGACATGATGATGTGTTTCTAGTAGGGCATTCTTAAAACAAATCACTAACATAATCTTTCTTACATCTGTAACTGACGCATTTTTTCATTAAATGCTATAATCTATTTTGAGTTATTTTTCTCTTATTAAAATGAATGGTATGGAAAACATTACTACCTGTGAAATTAGACTGGAAGCTATACTGTCCAAGAGAAGATCTACTGCATCACATGGTACAGTGGGTAACACCTAGCATATGCTGAATAGATGTTAGTGGAAAGCAGAAATAAATACATGCACTTATCTAGACTTGTGAATAAAATACTTAAGCTTTCTGAGATGCGGTGTATTCAAGAATAAAACATACCTAGATCTCATAAGAGGATGGTGAGAAGGTACAAATACATTATCTAATATACAAGAGGTACTCAAGAAAAGTAATTGTTTTCTATTTTCCAGTTGAACTTGTACCCTTATAGTTTTGATTGTATCAGATAAATTAACAGAGATAATAGAAAAACATACAAACTTATAAGTGGTAGTTGAGAAGCAGAGATAAAAATAGACAATTTATAACAATAACCCAAATGTAAGAGCATTGGCTAGTGAAGAAAGGGAGAATGCTGAAATTCTCTTATCTTTAGAGAGCAAAAAGCCAAGCAAGGTGAGGATTGGAAAGACAAAATATAAGGAAAGAGCTGAGTACAAAGCTTTATAGCCTTAAATGGAAAAGTACAACAAAAATGCATAAAGTAAAAGAATAAAAACTAACAGAATAAAACAAGACAAAGTACTCTAAGCCATTGGAAAACCCAAATAGAAGAGTAGTTGTAAGAAAACACCTTTGTCACTTTAATCACATGTATTAGTAAAACACAGATAAGAACCATCTGTACCGCTAATTGTATATATAAAATGTTCTTAGTGCTAAAAATATGTCATTAAAATTTTGGCTTTGTTTTACATAATTACATTATGGGACTATTTCAAACTTTGGTAACCATATCCTCTTATTTGATTAGCAAATTCCTTTCCCTTGAAAGAAACATACGTATATAAGTTTGATTTGTAAATATTTTATATTTTCTTTTGTTTGAATGGTTTTAGACAAGGTTTTGTTATGTAGCTCAGGTTAGCTTGGAACACACTATATGATCCAAGCAGGTCTTAAAATCTAATCATCTGCCACAGCCTTGTAAGTGCTGGGCTGTAGGCATGTGGCATCATGTTCAGCCTCTAAATACATTCTTAATGCTGAAATTTTAACTTCCCATAAAAAACTGACCATTTCCTTTATTCTTTATGTGTTGGTGGTACAGTAGAGAGCATAGCTGCATTCCTTTATTCTTTGACGACAACAATAAAGTCAAAGACACCTTTCTCAGATTGCTGTTTTTTATAAGCTGAGAAACTGTGTCATAAACAATTGAGAGTTCTTAATGAAATTCATGCTAACTTTTAAACTTCACTGTAAAAGTACCTTAAAAAGTTATTGATAAAAAATATGACTTTTAATATTATTACAATAGTACATAATACCTAAATCCAAATTTGTGCAAATGTAAAGCGACTCCATGAAAAATCTCCTAGTTTAGTGCTTTTAGTGGTTTATGTAAACACACTTTTATTAAAAGTGTGAAAGAATTTTATTGGTATTCACACCCTTTTTACTTGACTAGGTAGATTTAGTACAATTTCCTGCTAACAATTACTACAATGCCATGTGGTGAGTAAATAACCATAAACAACAAAGAAACACCAGATAATGACTGCTGATAACTCTGTTATGTTATCAAGGCAAGGTATGGTTAGGACAACAGTTCTCAAACTTTAATGTACATCAGATCCTTCCAGAAACCTTACTATACTATAGATTTCTTGGGCATCACTCTCATATACTTCAATTCATAATGTCTGGATAGGGCATCAGAACTGCTACTTCAAACAATTTTCAGATGATCGTATAAAACTTAGGGAGCATATTTGAAGATCACTGTTGATAAAAGGATTGT